CCCAAACCCAAACCCCAAAACCCCAAAACCCCGTCAGGCAAAATATGACATACACACAGTAATATATTAATATTATTTATTTGATTTGAGAAAATATTTAAATACATTTAATATAATGGAAAGACCCAAGGACCAGATAAAATTAAACACCGATTTAACTAGCCGAATTCAAGTTTCTCAGAGGATTTTGGAGAAACTTCAAAGAATGAAATTAGATGATATTAATATCAGAGGGTCTTTACCATCATAAAGAAATCCAGACAAGCAATTGAAGTTGAGTTAAGAATTTAATTTGAAACTTGAGTCTTAGTCGTCCATTGCTAAAAGCAATTATTATACCCATACAGAAAAGAACAGGCCATACACTAAAACCATGAATCCCAATGACTCTTATAATGATTCAATGATGTCTTCAAATGACAGAAGAAGAGTACTAACTACCATGCTAAATGAAAATAGAATAGGTGGAGATTACTCGGGCACAGACACATTAAACTCCTTCTTATACGACAATCAAGAAAATAACCATCTACACCCTGCCCATCATAATTTAAACAATAATTAAAATAATGTACATAAAAGTAACAACTATAAGAACGGGATGGGAGTAGTTAATAGTGTAAATAATATGAACAGCAACAGTATCAGATACTATAAAAACTAAGATAACAGGTAAGGTAATTAGCCGAAAAGAGGTGAAGGGTCTGGAGAGGAGTATTAAAGGACAGAAAGACCTAAATATAACAATTAGTTAGGTCAAAGCAATATATTGTCTCACTCACCCACTATCAATTAAGATAGATTTCAAAGTCACAGCAGCTTTACCAGTAGATACAATACTGAGAGAGAACATCAAAACAAGCAATAGAATGAAATTTGCATGTAATTACAGAGAAGAAATGTTAAAGTCCTGACTAATAAAATGCTAAAAGAGCTTTAAGACTAGGTTATTAATCAAAAGGAGTAAATCAAGAGAAAATAACTTGAACAGCGACTTATCCTTGAAAGATAAAAAAAGGAATAATTGAGTCAATAACTGTAACAAAAATAAGATCTAGAGAAATCTTTCTCTTAGATGTATCTAAGTCATTCTTAGGCTAAATTCGAGACTCAAGAGCGACTTAAGCTAGAAAGAGAACAAAGAATAATGTTCGAAAGCATTAAAAAAGCCCAACAGATGAAACTTCAAAGGACTTAGCTCAAGAGTAAATCCAAGGGGAGAAACTAGCTTACCAAAACTGCTAGCAGAATGCGGAAAGAGGGTAGTAAGTAGAAAAGTAGAAATGGCGGTGGCATCCCACTTTCGACAATTTTCTTGGTGGCCAGTAATACAGCACTTGCCACCTACATTCTTATCAACAAGATCAAGAACTGAACATTCAAATAATCTCAGTATATATAATATCCTAATATTACATTTGAACTAATCTTAATTATATAACTCCTCTATATCCTGACTATTGATCAATTGGGGTTTTGGGGTTTTGGGG